CTGGACTGACCTATCTCTTCCCTAACTCCCCACCTACACTCACCTTTCCTGGCTCCATCCCCGCCTCTTTGACCTGTCTGTCTCCTCTCCACCTATCTTCTCCTCTATCCATCTTCTATCCACCTCCCCCTCTCTCCCTATTTATTTCAGAATCCCCTTCCCTTCCCCCATTTCTGAAGAAGGGTCTAGGCCCGAAACGTCAGCCTTCCTGCTCCTCTGATGCTGCTTGGCCTGCTGTGTTCATCCAGCTGTACACCTTGTTATCTCAGATTCTCCAGCATCTGCAGTTCCTATTATCTCTGAAATGATTTTTCAAAGCTTTTTTAATGTTTACAGTTATTTTGTACAGTATATTTCAGGAAAATCAGCATTATTTTTACATCAAAGTTTAAAAGATGGTTGCATTGATTCTGCAGTTGTAACCTGCTGCAGGGTTAATGTCTTTGTCATTGTCCATAGTGAGTTTATCTTGTCTTGCCTGATAGAAGAAATCTCAAAGATCATTCAGTGTTAGTATAGTGGTTTTAACTATTAGCGAATTGGAAAAGTAAATGTTGCGTATTGTCATAGTCATACACCATAGAATGAGGCCATTCAGCCAATTTTTCCTGTGTTGGCTGTTTGAAAGATTCTTCCAATTACTACTCCTTCCACCTTGCTCTTTACTGTAGCCCTGCATTTTTTTCTGTGGCAAACATATATCCGATTCCCCTTTGGAGTCATGGCTGAATCTGTTTTCACCACCCCATCAGATAGTGAATTAATGAAGGTTTTAGAGTTTTATCTGGCCTAATTTTGCACTTTATAGTATAAACCTGTTCTTTAGTTACAACTGGTCCCCTGCAGTGTTGACCATTGGTTATTTTCCTGAGTGGCTTCACTTTCATCTGCTCATTGTGTAACCACAATGCAAATTGTTTTCTAGGTTTTCATAAATAACAGTCCATTTTGTGTACTTTTTTGCAGATCAAAGATGAGCCTTCTGTTTTTTGCACTGCTATTCCTACTGCAAGATGAGAGTGTGTGTAAAAAAATTTTGGTGACCCAACATCGGTTGAAGGTGGACCCTGAAGCTTTTATGAACATTGTAAGTTGGAAATTTATTTTCACGCTAAATTTAGCAACAAGTTTGCTCAGTATGAAAGCGTAAATAGATTTTTTTTAGTTTCAGTACTCATTTCTACTTCCTGTGGAAATGCACCATTTTGAAACCTTCTCAAAAGTATGTGAAAAGTTAGTATGTGGTGTTGTGAGATATCTTGTGTAAGCTTTATAAGATGAAGGAAAAATTTATATTCCAGAAATTCTGATGTCGCACTTGTTTTACGCAGTTATCTTGTCTTCAGTTTTCTTGCAGGATTCCATTGGAGCTAAGAAGGTTTTGTTAGAAGTTTCTCATGATATAAAGGACAGGATGAATAGATAAATAATATGTACTTCAATCACACAGTCCTTAATGAGTTGGCTTCAAATTAAAATTGTTATTCAGAGGGAGAGGTTAAAAGAAATGTTCTTGGATATTATTGGATTGGAGATTGGAGTGCTTTGCTGTAATTAAGGTAGAAATCATTGAATAAATGATTGAAACAGAGGAAGGTGGAAGATGTTCACTGCTGGGAAAGAAGTCAGAGTAAAGAAACTAATTATGGGTTACTTAAACTGAAGGAGTTCCACAGAGTTGAGGCAAAGAGTTACCTTCTACACTGTAAACACTTTGGGTTCACTGATTTTCTTGCCAGTTCATCAGACTGTGGAGGGCATTAAAGCTGAACCTGACCTCGTACTTCTGGTATGTAAATTCCTAGTAGGGTTAGTGTTTCATGATCAAAACAGGTATGCCTGGCTGAAATTTGCCTTCCCTCATCCAGGGGTCCATTGACCAACTATCGTAAACTAAAGAATCTGCTAAACAGTGCTCTCTGAACTATATAATATTCCCACTTATTTAGATTCTCCCAAAATAATTTAGACCATAAGAAACAGGAGTATCTTCCAATAACATATGTTTAATGGCTCTCTCAGACAGCACACAAAGATACTTAGTGAAGGCAGAGTTCAAATGATGAATGCAGGCCAGCCAGTACTGAGTGCAATTGCATTTCTCTAAGCACACCCTCTTTCTTCAGAAAAACTTACAAAAATTGCATGCATTATCATTTGCTTCTTAAAGTTGCTCAAGTTACCAATGTCCATGATGACCAAGAAAATTGTCATTCATCCACCAAAGTGTGCTCACTGTAGTCAGTTCAACTTGCATCAGTTTCCTCACATGCATTGCATACGTAGCCTTTAAATAGTGTTGGTCTCCTGAAGGTACATATGCACGTTGTCATTGATTGTTCCTCTGATATCTATTCATTCCTTCTCCAGTGAGTGTTATTCTCTCAGCAGTGTCATTGATGTGGTAAGTGTCCCTGTTGATCCATTTCTATTGTCGGCGAACTATGGAATTCTGAATCTAATGGTCATTCTGTACTCTGTGCAGGTGATAAGGTCACTCCTTTCTAATCTGCTGGTTGCAGCGAAAGTGCAGTTTCTCTTATATGTGGAGTCTGTGGCTGTGATCGCTTGTCACTTTGATTGGACATAGTTAACAACAACTACTCCACACAAGTCCCAAGTTGTCATGTGGGCTGACTTTTGTTGAGTGTTGTACATTTGCACTGTGATTGGTTTTCTTGTGCTTTCCTCTGGCAGTGACTTAGCAGTTTTATCAAAGCAAACTTTGACTCTTTGTTTCACATTGCTTCTGTCACTCATGCCTCTTAATATTTTTGACTTCAGTAGTTTTTTTAAAATGTTGGAAGAGTAGTTTATGTTCAGCGTGACATTGGTCCCCAAACT